AATTAAAAATACCTTCGTCATGCATTTGAAACATAAGTGTATATTCCTTTGATATAACATAATGTTCCTTGATATCTCTAGAATGCTTATTGAATGAAACACTCGAATATGCATAGAGATGTAAAGTAAAGTGTATTTTTAATTCGTTTTACTGCCAATGAAGATCAAATTGTTATTATAGAACACACCCCCTTCCACGAGAAGCGCGCGCTGAGGAACAAAGGACCATAAAAGAAGGCTTCTCGCGTGTAATATCCACTCTCCGATTGGCTCAAGCCAACAGGAAGGGGATGGATTTCTCCAAGGTGATAAATGTGAGAACGCAGGTCCGCCCTCTCTCTTCTGAACTTTCCAGCGCTCAACATGTAAACCTCACGGGACTCTGATCCAACCATGGATCTTTCCTTTTGTTCGTCTAAAAGTTTCATCTTTTCCTCAAGTGGACTACCAAGTTCGTCTTCCAGGAAAGGAAGTGGACTTTGCCGAACTATCTCCTCGGGTAACGTCACCTCAAAGACTCTCAGCCTTTCAAACACTGGCGCTAAATGCCGACGAACGCCACGTGACTCCCCACGGAACAAAGCAGCCATGAACGAGCCGGGACGGGCCGCGCAAACATGCCGCGGCCGCGCTTCACGTGACGCACGCGCGCCGGACCGGCGCACCTCTAGCCGACACGTGGCCCGAACGGGTCGAGCAACGAGCCCACGACTCACACAGACCACATGTGCCTTGCAAGTATACCTTCTTTTAGAGCTTCTAAGAAGCATTAAGAAGATGTTTTGGGGTGTCAAGAAAGGTTAACTGACGGTTTTGATGAACGTAACTCTCTCTCTCTCTTACAACTCACTCTCTCTCTCACTCTCTCTCTCAAACTCACTTAACTTGCGCGTATCCATTGTCTAAACGCTCTGCGTCGTCTTAGTTTGTGTTTTAATGTTTGTAAATACATGTATCATTGTAACGTAGTGAATGCTTAAGTAGGAACTTTATTAAATACAAAATATGCTTACCTTGACTGATTGTCTTGCTCATGATACGGGTCAATGAAATGTCGATTTAAAGCTACACGCTTTACAGAACTATAAATACCTAAGAGGGTATTTGGTTATAGAGCAGGGAAGGCAGATTCTAGTGGCCACAGAATTTGTTTTCACAAGCTATATAACTTAATTGAGCTAATTGATTTTACCTGTCTTGTAAAACGTGGTCCTTGCAATCAATTACAATTAATTTGTGGTGGATTGCGGGGATGCACATGTATGCATATGGGTAAAATTAATAAATTAACATGTAAGACCGGTCTGATCCAAATCTGTATGAATAATTATTAATTATCAATTATTAATTATGATATGCAAATTCCCCCCCTGATCAGAACCGACCCAGAGTCTTTACAATATTAACTAATATAACATAGAAACATACTGTAACATTATTGTTCAAAAGTTAGGGGTCTGTAAGATTTTATGCTGCATGATCAAAAATACAGTAATATATCAGTAATATATAATGCATGATCAAAAATACAGTTTTGTACTATAGTGAAATATATGAATATAGATTTTTTAAATCATATTTTTGTGTAATTTGTTCCTGATGTCAAAGCTGAATTTTCATCATCATTACTCTAGTCTTCAGTGTCATATGATCCTTCAGAAATCATTATAATATGACAATTTGGTGCTCAACAAACAATTATTTACATTATCAATATTGAAAACAGTTGTGCTGTTTAACAATTTTGTGGAAACCGATAAATTGTTCTCAAGATACTTTAATGAATAGAAAGTTTAAAAGAATAGCAACTATTTTGTAACATTATAATTGTCTTTACTGTCACTTTTGATCAATTTAATCCTTCTTTGCTTGATAACGTTTATTTAAAAAAAAAAACTTTCAATAATAATTTATAATTTTAAGCTTAGATCAGGATAAAAAAAAAATCCTAAATCAATGCGTGATGTTTTACGACTCATATCACAACGATCATAATTGCAGCATATTAAATGAACTGCATAAAATCAATGAACTGCAGCTTATGTCATATTGATATCACGTCACATGTTTTAATACTGATTGTATTTTTTTAACATCGGTTTAAAAAAAAAACAACCCTACTCAGAGTTCAATTCATTTTCACTCTTTTTCCCTCATTCTAGACACTTTTCATGACTCACTTGGCCTGCCTGGCACATACACAGTGCTTTATCTCTCTCTGCCTCTCCTTATCTGGGCTGTCAGCATGGCTCTGCTAGCTACATCCACGCTGAGGCTGTGCAGGAACACTAATTAAACCCAAATGTGCCGCATGCTTCCTGCATCCTGAAAAGGTTTTCCATCTCTTTTAGTGTTTCTGTCCTATTTTATACTCAAAAACTCAAGAGAAGTACAATTGGGCCGGTGAAAAGACACTAACTAGAGAAAAACATTGTGTCTAAAGCACACGCTTGCTTTTCAATGCATTCAATTGAGCATTTCCAAGTAAACAAATCAGATGAAACAAACCAGTCTTGTTGTCCACAATGTTTACGATACAGTCTACAGTATACAAGTTTAAACGCTGTCTATTTTTATGCAGCCTATTTTATGAACTCCAGATCTGGACAGACACACCCACCAGCTGCATGCATGTGTCTCGAACCAACAAGCCCCTTAGCTAGAGTGCAAGGCTGTGTGTTCTCACAATCTCAGCCACAACAATTGTGCCAGATGGGAGCGGAAAGCCATAAGAGGCTATTTATCTTTCATATGCAAATATGAAATCTGATGCGGGGACAACTTAGACCAATAACACCAATAAGAAACAGATGCATTTACAATGGAAGTGCTTGGTAAAAAACAAAGTACAGTTCACTTAAAAAAGAAAATTCTGTTACTTTTATGTACTATAATAATGTAGAAAAAAAAAATCACACATTTTAAAGTTAAATTCATCAATCTGGTGCACTTTGGTAGCTCAAAATTCAGAGCTTGAACCCATTTCAGCCCAAATTGAACAAAGAAAAAGTCTGTGCATTGACTTTAAACTTTAAAGGAGAATCAAACTTCTTTTAGTTGTGATATTGTCTCGGTGTACGTTACACTATTAGTATTATTTTTATTATTAATATTATGTAACGTTATAATAGTATTCCTATGACAGTAATAGCCATATATTCTAAAGCAAATGAAACTTTCAATTAGTTCTGTTAAACTTTCAATTAGTATCAAGTGAGTAATTGATGACAGAATTTTCATTGCTATCGTTAACCTTGAGAGAAATATAGAAAGTTAATTACAATTAGTACAAGGTTAAGAAAAATTATCGTTCCTGTGTTCAAGATTTACATAAATGCTTCTTTATTTGGTGCTTTAAAGCTTGACTAACCTTTTCCTTCCTAGATTGGCTCAATGCACAGTTTTTAGTCATGACATTGGAATATGGTTTCTAAGCCAGTGTTGCACTCAGAATAACTAATACTGAACCCCAAAAACAGGCCTTTCCAGGACAATGAGAGCAAAAAATAGCCATTGCTTGGGTTACGTTCAACTTTGAAACAGCAACACCAAATTTTGGAAAGTTTTCATATTTCTTCTTTACTGCCTAAAAGGAATCTTGATAATCTTAGTGTTGATCCAGTACTAAAACAATGCATCAGATCTGTTGATCTCACTTGATGACACAGTTCCAACATTCTTTCCTATGAGGAGTTCTGCTTTTCTCATTACCATATGCTGGGATTCTGTGCGATTTGATCACTACTCAACCTGAAGAGTGCTTCGGAAGAAGACGTTCTCATGGGCTCCTGCTTCTCAAAACACTAATCTTTGGCACACATCGATTCCATTAGAACTGATTGTGGGGTTCAAAATATGGGTGGATGAGGGGAAATCTGGGATTTAAAATCAAATTAAAACATGAAAATAGGGGTGTAAACCAACAAAAACTGCGTAAAGAAGATGCAAACATTTCATAAGGAGGGGGAAATCACCTTATGAAAGGTAAAAATACCCCTAAAGATAAACTTAATGGAAAAGTAACTACACTGAACTAACAAACGCACAGAATAGAATATGAAAAGCTGTCCAACCCTAAACCAAGCAAGGTAACAACACAAATCTAATTGGGTCTAATTATAATTTTTGAAAAAATACCCAAAAATATTGTGATTAATTGCACTAATTTAACTGCACAAATTTAGTGCTGCAAATTTATGTCAAGTGCAACCATGTGCAAATAGGCCGGAGAAATAGGCATGCTGAAAGGTATAGGGCTTGCTGAAAGGTCTTTACAATTGGTCATGAAATATGCCTGTTAGGGTGTGTGGGAAGGTTTAGGGTTATGCTGCCTTCACGTGCTATCGGAATAATCGTACGAGTTTCCTACTTTCCAATTGGGCATGGTGGTTGCGAATTTAGCCACATGGGCAGCGTGGTAATCATTTGAAGCATATTGCATGCTTTATACACATTACACAGCAAACATAGCCTGCATTGGACCGAAAATCCAGAATCGTCAGCAAGCGGCTGACTATCTAGATTGTGTGGTGAACGTTTGTTAATGAATCAGTGTTAAATGTCATTTTAAAAATAAATAAGCAAGAACAAACCTGGTGACCTCCATGATTCCTGTTCTTTCTGACAAAGCACTTGAATGCAACAAGTAAAGGCAGCATTATTCTTTGTTGTAGCATTGTGTACATTTCGGCATGCCCATTACGACCTGCAGATATACCCGTCTCTCCATGTGAGCTACTTTTTACAGACCGTTGATGCTCTTGCGTAAATGTAAGCACAATATGCTCTTTGAAAAATAATGCTGAAATTTCACTTTTCACTCAAATTGCTATGCTGATTATATAATACGGAAATCTGTATAGAAAAGTGCTAAATTGTTACAGTATGAAATAGTCTTAACAGACACTCTAAGTGCACTTCACAGTGTAAACATCAGATCCAGATCATGTAGGCATCTAGCCAAAAAGCAATTCAGAAATGAAAAAGCATGTGTGACTTACTCTCTAGAGGCCTTGCAGGGGCTTCATGTACTGATGGAGGAGTTTTGTATTCATTGAAGGTAGGAGTGACGCTGGCTGCTGAGGTGAAGCTGTTCTCTGACTCCCTTGCAGGAGACGGTGTGTCCAGCTGTCTGTTAATGTGCATCTCAGCCCGTCTAGATGGAGCTGATGAGATCTCAAGAGGACTTGGAGGCTCTGCTCGCCTCTGGGACAGCTCTGGGATCCGGGACGTAGATACTGGCGGGTCAGCTCTCCTAGGGGGTGTTGGAGGTTCTTGGGGTCTGCTGTGGTTACCCTCAGCCCTTCTGTGTACTGGTGCATCTGTAGTTTTATTCTGGAGCGAGACCTCAGGTCTCTTTAAGCCGAAGCGGGCAATACCTGGACTGGGTGAGCTGTCCACCTGCTTCGAGGAGATGTCGATGGAGAGCTCTGTCCTGCGTGATCCAGTGTCTTGGATGCGGCCCCCCAATAACTCCATGCGCCGCAGGCTGGACTTTGGTGAGCGCTGGTTGGAGGAGGAATCTGAAGCATGCCTGGAGGTGGATTCAGAGTTGTGGGATCTCGCTTCATAATAGCGGCTGCTTGTAGATGAGGTCGAGGATCGTAGAGGGTTGGTTGTTCTACGGGAAATAGGAGAAGGGTTTGTGGATGTGTCCTCCTCCACTTCAAATGACCTCTTTAGTGCTGTGAACAAATATGGACAAAAATGTTCACAAAAACCAGGCAACTTTCAAAACTTAAGACAGAACAACTACTTGAAATAGATAACTAACTAAATACATTTATTTACACTTAATAATGATTTTTAGTTATGTTTAGGTAGGTAGGATTTATACTAACTAAACCTAAAACTAAATCATATTATAAACAGGAACGACGGCACCTTAATAAAAAATAGCTCTATATATAGACCCTAGGCCTAAATAAAAATAAAAGAAGCCAGACTGATATAATCATCAGTCCATCATATTGAGTTAACTTGTAAACAAAGCGTAACATGTTAAACCTTTTTCGATGATTTAAAATGTAAACAAAGTTCGCACGGTCGCAATAAACTCTGTAACAAATTTAACAACAATACGCTGAAACAATTGTTTCTTTTGCGCTGGGGAAATAAGCTTAAAGAGTAGGCTACTTGTCTGGTTAAAATAAGGAAATACCTGATTTCACACGTTTCAAATGTTTCGTAAACATAGCTGCAGCCTGAGAGCGCTCGCGCCTTAAAACACAGCCTTCCTCACCAAATAGCACTTTTGAGTCAATGAGTCGGCTCACAAACAGTTCTTCATTGAATCGGTCCGAGTGGGAGCCCAAAACCGAGAACTGCTGTATGCAATGTAGGTACAATAAACACTCTTATTGATAAAACTGAATTTGAATTTGAAAAAAACAAATAAACAGCAATATGTGGCCCACATATAGCCTTTTGTTTATGCACTATTTGAGCGTTCAGGAACCACATGATGGACGTAATTAGCCTACGCGATGACGTAAATAATCACTGAATAATTTTTTTTTAAATTAACTATTTGAAAGAATCTATTCGCGAAAATGAGTCATAGTTCTTAAACTACGAAATACTTTCGTTGCCAGGCATCTTGTTAGTATACTTTTTTTATACTTTAGTCATTTTTTTTTTTTTTTTTTTTTACAATTGTGAGGTAATTTTAGGTCACTATGGTGTCTGCAGAGTATCAAAAACCTATACAAACTTAAATAGTAATATATATATATTAAAATAAAACTGGTTCATATAAAGCTAAATACATAAATTTGATATATAATTGATCGAAAACAGTAAAATTCACAGTAATATATTTATTCCCATTACATTGTTGCATCAGTTTTGTCCTAAGCCCTGGTTAATTTCTGACTCTACAGAGAGATTTCTGGGATTGCATCGAGACAACAAGTTTCCCTCTATAGAGTGCAACCATTGATGAGTTTCTGAAACTGGAGCTGAAGAGCCTTAAGATTGGATTTTTCAATTATCTGCAATGTGGTGCTTGACAGAAACAGACACACAATGGCATGCTTGGTCGCTCAGGAAATTTGTCTGTACTAATCCCCAGAAAATTTCTAGACACTCGAGTCATGCACACAGACACAGCAGTAGTAATGACCAACAGCAGTGCTAGAAGGTGGTTGCTATCCCATCCAGTTGGTCTGTACAAACATTAACCCACACATCCCTCTGTCTTTTTTTGTTGAATGGCTTGGCACTGCTCCTATAGCATCTCATCATTTTTTTAATGCTTGTTCTTGCAGTATACTGGACATGTGTAACTTATTTCCAAGTGGTTCATTTCTACACAAGCTCAGTGGCTATTTCATGACTGAAGCAGCAGTTTGGCCTGATAAGATAAAAACAAAAACCTTTTGTTGGCATCTCTCTGAAATCAAAGTTTAGTAAGTTTTGTTTTTCTGAAGTCAGTGCTGAGTGGATGCAAAAGGGCCTATGCGATTCTTGCTTTTTGCGTTTAACTTCAAGGCATTAAATTCACAGCTGGGTCTAAGTTAAGTGTGGGAGAGGATCAGTGTTTGAAGTTATATTTGGCAGCCATATTCATGAGAAATAAATGATAGCTCTTTGTGCATGTTAAGATATGCAGCCAGCTGTGGGGAAAAAATAAGAAAATTTAGAGTACCTGCATATCATGCTATATGGCTAATTTAAATCTTAAAAACTTGAACATGCAACAGACTTAGGCTCAGGATTCTCTTAATTCACAGCAGTGTTGCTATTGTTAACTAAAACAATTAAAAATCATTTTCATTCATTGAAATTAATCTAAAATAAAATAAAATATAAATATGATATGAATTTTGAACTTTAAAAAATGTCTTATAGAGGTGAATTATAAAGCATTTTGCTTGTAGGACTTGTTGAACCCAATGGACATGTATCCAGTTTCTTCCAACACACAGGAAAAATGACCTCCGGTTAGCAGGACAGGATGGAAGCTGATGTTGTTTTGATTGGATATGTGATCAATTCAGGCTAAGAACACACAGTTGCTTTGAACTGGTTTGCTTTTTCTCATGAGTCAGAGGACAGAATGACCATTTTCTCATGTCTCATCGTCAGAGGGGGGTTTATTTAAAGCTGCACCCTAATGATGTCATTTCCTGTCATTTCAAAGTGAGCCTGGATTAAAATGGGGCCAGATACAAACAACACAACTTCAGTAGCAGTCCCACACACACACACACACACACACACACACAACTTCTCTGGGGCAGGATAATTATTTAGTGTATGTGAATGGGTGTTAAACAGGAAGAGATTCTTATTCCTTCTTATTTCTTTTATTCCTTTCAGTCCAGGCAATAATATGCTTGGCACAGCATGCTATATAGAAGTATACACATATGAATATACAACAGGATTAATAACTCTTCCGTTCTGTCCTCAAAAAACCTTTTCATGCACAGGCAGGAAGTGAATGATTACAGACAGATTTTATTGTGTAGTCCATTATCATCGCTCTGTACTTTTGGGCTGCATAAAGTACAGTATAAAAAAACATACAGTCCACAACAGCCAAACCAAGCACATGAACTCTTACATAAGAATCCTCTTCTTAATGGGGTGCATGTGTATTTTTGACAGGGTAAGCTGGATAGACGTGTTTGATGAGAGCTCCAAAGGTGTCTGACTTTGAAAAATAAACCTCAGTCTATTTGTGGTTTCAGAAACTATTTAAGATCCGAATCACAAAACGCACTGAAATGCCTGCATCAAAAAACATTTAAGAAAAACCCATTCCTGTAAAGGTAAACAGCATTTTTTAATTTTCTTAAGATTTTCATATACACTTTCTGTGCTTGTCTGTGCAATACTCATTCCCATGTGTAATATAAACAGTGGACTTTCTTTCCTTGTCGTCATGATTGTTGCAATACAGTTGTTCTAAATCATCATTAGTGCATTTCTACACAATTGCTAATGTTCTAAGTAGCATTTAGCTCATTGCTATGCAGTTGCTAGGTTTGTTGAAAGGTTGTTTACTGTTTTAGTACAAGTTTAGTAGTCCACACCACAACTGTACTGATAACAGCACAGAGGAACAATATCATTATAGATTTTGGACATTATCAATATCATTTGGATTTTTTATCTTTGGACATTGACAGCCAATCAGAATCCACCCTGCTTGGGTATTTTTAAAACTCTGATATGTTTATGCATTTTAATATTCTGTAGATAAAAATCATAAGTCTGATCATAAAGCAAGAGCCTGTGTCTCCCCAAGTTTCGCTCCAAAGGATGAGCAACTGCAATAGTGATGCTTGCCTTATAGCAAGTGGCACTAACTAACATTAAAGTGGGTATGATAGCTAATTGGTCCAGAAATTATCATTTCAACTATAATCTAAAGAACAGTCTGTCATAATTATCACAGTCACATCTTCCCAACCAGAAAAAGAGACTTAAGTAGAAGCTCAACCCCTTACTGCTAGAGAATCAGAGGTGTTTGAGGTATGTGCTGACAAAAACAACAGGATACAAACAGATAGTGTAATTCTGCTGTAATGATATGTTTGGCCTTGCTGATCTGCGAGACTTGGGAGCTGTGTGACGCAGCCTCGGGCTTTTGTGGGAAATGGGCTGCACAAAAACACATAAGAGCCATCTCTCTCTCTCCCACAGTACACACAGCTGCAGCTTTGAGTAAACACGTACAAACGCACACAGATGCGATTGCTCCCACAAAACACTATGATCAAACATATGCACATCTATGGAAGCAATCTTGTGTGTTTGGTTGTATGTATCATCAATTATTTGTCCAGAAAATAGCCAACTATCTACAGGTTGAGGTTCAACAGTATTTTCTGTTTCAGGCAAGTCCAATGCTCTGTTAACAGAGATGATGTAGGTGGGAAACAAACGTCTGCGTATCTCCAAAGCCATATTCAACATGGTTGAAAAAACAAACAAAAAACAACCGTGTCCCACTTGCTAACGGTTTCAAGCCTCTGGGTAACAGTTTTAGGGCGACTTGCAAGAAATGTTGGCTTCTAACATTCAAAATGATCTTCATCTCAAATGTCCACAGCCCCAGTGTGGTTTGCTTATAATGTGATGCTCTTTTCACTCTTCACTTAATTCCAGGTTACAGGTAACTGTGCAAAAGCAATGCAGCTACAGTGTGTGATGGAGATAGAACTGAAGTCATGTGAAGCAACTGAAGTCATGTGATTCACAACTAGTTGATAACCCAATTAAATGTTCACCCAAATATGTCGTCATGTTCTTCTGTGCATATAAGAAAGTATTTTGATAAATGTCTCAGTGTCAATTTTCATACAATAAAAGTCAACGGGCACCAAAGCCTAATTTTCCACAGAATAAAGAAAGTCATAAAGGCTTTGGAATGTCAAGAGGGTGAGTAACTGAATTTTTTTAGGTGAACTATCCCTCTATGACAACCAAGCTTATTTAGAACATTATGACTGGTTAATCAGCTATTGACCAGTTTAGACCAGCTGAAGCAACAAAATGTTTTATTACTTTTTATTCCAACAGGGAAATCAGCAAGTCGATAAATACTATAATAATAACTGACTAATGCAACACCTGGTTTCATGGACATCGTTTAGATTAAGCCAGGAATATGCCTTAGTTCAATTAGGATATTTAAGTAGCTTTAATAAACATGCCCCAGGAGGGAAAAAAAAAACATTATATATGTGCATTTTGAGACAAAACAATGGTAGAGACATATTTTAAGATATGTTAATGCAAGTTGCTTCCCGTTAAAACAGCTCAAACATTTTTTTTTTTTTTTTGTCTGGGACGAGGCTTAAGCCTTGTCTGTGAAACCGGGGGCAAATAAAGTAAGTGTTTGTGAGTACAACCCAGAAGCGTTGCGCAGTTACACTACATGAACTAACTCGAGAGTTGAGGCCCACAGAGAAGGAAATGAATAGTTGAATATAGTCGTTATTTTTGTTTGTTTTTTGCGTACAAAATGTGTTCTCGTCGCTTGATAAACTTAAGATTGAGCCACTGTAGTCACTCAGACTATTTTTATGTTTTTAATAACTTTTCTGGGCCAGCAAGTTTCAATCCCTTAGAAAGCCTATAGAGGAGTGATCTAGCTCTCAGATTTAATAAAACATATCTTAATTTGTGTTCCGAAGATGAACAAAAGTCTTACTGGGTTTGGAACAACATGAGGGTGAGTAATTACTGACAGAATTTTCAATTTTCAAATGAAATGTCATTTTCAACTATACCTTTAACAAGCTCTGTGCAAAAACTTTTTGTGTTAAACCGAGGTAAACCAATGCTTGTAACAATCACCCATTCCCATATACTGCAGCTTAGCAATGGTTAACTTCAGGAATATTATGATAAGCTAGAGGGCATGATGTTTTATAAATGAGAACTTTTAATATCCTCTCAGTTACAGATAGCCATAACATTCAGTCATGTGACTGCTGTGCTCACCATAACACATGTGCATAGCATGTTTCCAGGGAGTATATCAATATGTTTTCACTTCAAAAGTAGAGCTATGAATTTAAGAAGTTATGAGCTTCATTTATTAAGCCCATTTCCTCGTGCGGAGGCCAGCACTGAATAAAGGGAAGTCATTTATTGCTTTGTTCCCAACC